AGTGCATGGATTCAATGACGCCCTCCAAGCTGACCGAGGACTAGGCACGATAGCCCTGCTCGGCGAGGGGGGAAAGCAAATTTTGCCGGACAGCTGTAGGACTGTGGAGTGAAGCTGCAGGACGTTGGCAAGGAGACACTCATGCTCTCTGTCAACGGAGGTGTGCTTGGATGAGCTCGTTACAAGGGACGTGCTCTCAGCACTGATCTGCAGCCATGGCTGCAACAGAAGACCGTGGCAGAGGCGATTGCTCTGCGCACCTTGGCGACTGACACACGCTCTTTTGTAGACGTGTGGCATGCTTGTCTGGCACATGCTGGCGGGCCCTTTTGAGTTCCCGCTAAGGATGGTAGCCGCTACTTTCTTCTGCTCAAAGATCGCAAGACATGCTATGTTCGGGTCTACCTGATCGCACAGAAGAGCGATGCATTGCTCGCCTTTCACAAGTGGCTTCCGAGGGCAGAACGACAGTGTGAGGCAATGCTGAAGGCTCTTTGATCAGATCGTGGTGGTGAATTCTTAGGCAGACAGTTCATCGAGTTTCTTGAAGAACGAGGAATTGAGCACGACCTCACCTTCCCCTACATGACGCAGCAGAACGGGATGGCAGAGTGCAAAATGCACTCTGTAGTAGAGTCTGTCCGTACCATGCTCTTGCACATGGGGACTCCACACCACTGGTGGCATCTTGCTGCTCTGCAGGCAGTGTGGGTGCGGAACTGTCTTGAGCATTCTTCTCTGCCATCAGGGACAACGCTATACGAGCTGCTCTTTGGCGAGAAGCCTGATGTGATGATGGCGCGCGTGTGGGGATGCATGGTGCAGTTTCTCATTCCCCCGAACAACCGTGGCGGGAAGCTGGAACTGAAAGCCCATTGGGCACTCCACCTTGGGGTGTCGCCCCAGAGCAAGGGATGGCTGGTGCTCGACATGACAACGAATCGGTTGGTCACCACGGTGGAAGCGATCTTCTATGAAACAATGTCGCTCGACGGGTGGAAGGCGACAAAGCACACTCCCACCGAGGTTGTTGACCCTACTCTCTTCGACCAGGCGTCCTTCTGGCCAGATCTGGATGCAGAAGAGGAGGAGGAGGCTGAAGGGAATGAGTTTGTTTGACCTCTATCGCCTGCACCGATTTTGCCTCCTCGACCCCAGCCTCCGTCGGCAGAAAGCCCTCTGGCCGTGGTACCTCCTGTTGAGGATACTTCTGTGGAGGAGAATTCTGCAGATCCTCCGTTGATCGAAGAGCCTAATGCGCCCTCCGCCTCACCGAGCGCACCCTTTTTTTTTTTCTCAGGGGAGGAGGGGAGTGAGGTGCCTCTTGGTGTCATCCCTAGTGAACAAAGCATGGAAGAGCGGTAGAAGGGCTCCGCATATGAAGTACCTGCAGAAGAGCTGTTTGTAGGGGAGCAGTATGCAGAGGAGCAATCGGCAGAAGAGCATTCTGCAGAGGAGCTCTCAGTAGAAGAGCCACATGCGGAGCAGCCCACACTGCGGCGACCGATGCGATCCAACAAGGGTGTTCCGCTGGTTCGTTACCATGTGGCGTTGACGGCGTTCTCGATGAACATCCTCGATGGCAGCGACGAAGACATTGCACTCAAGGAGCTTGACTCGGCAGAAGATCGTGTCGCAGTATTGAAGATGCCTGTCCCAGTCACTCAAAATAGTTGGAAGGGCCCTGGGGTGAAGGCGGCGATGGACAAAGAGATGCAAACTCTGTGGGACCAAGAACATGGGATTTGGTTTTCCCACCTCCTCGCGTCAATGTGATGGGAAATCGCTGGGTTCTCGCTACCAAGTATCTTCCCGACGATACGGTAGAGAGAGAGAAAGAGCGTTTCGTCGTTTAGAGATTTACGCAACTGCCTAATCTCGACTATGACTTGACGTATGCTCTAGTCGGCAACTATGTGACTGCTCTTCTGCAGCTACTCATTGCTGCGGTATTTGATTGGGAGCTGATGCAGCTCAACATGACGAACGCGTCCCTCAATGCCCCTAACGATCGTCCTCTCTACATGAAGCAGTCGAAGTACTATGATAACGGTAGTGGCAGAGTTTGCCTTCTCAAGAAGAGTCTCCACGGACTCAAGCAGAGTCCAAAGCTGTGCTACGAAGAACTCGACGGAGTTCTGCAGAGCGGAGGCTGGTCGAAGAGTCAGGTCGACAAAGCCTTGTACTTCCACGAAGATGAGCACGGTGACAAGTGCTACTTGCTTGTCTATGTCGACGATTTGCTGGCTGCAAGTCGGAGCAAGGCACATTTGGCGAAGTTGAAGACTCTGCTCGAGAAGGCGTTCAAGCTTCGAGAGATCAATCCTGTGCAGAAATACTTGGGCTTGGAGCTGATCCGAAACAGACCTGCTCGGAAGATCTGGCTGCACCAGAGAGGTTACATCAACAAGCTGCAGAGGCATTTTCTGCCAAAGGGGCCTCCTTGACGAAGCCTGAAAACGCCGATTTCTGTCGATGTGTTCAAAGAATCGATGTTCGACGATGCAGAGCTGCAGGCATGCACAGAAGACGAGAATCGCCAGAAAGTGGGATCTCTGCTGTTCGTCGCCTGCACGACACGTCCGGACATTGCTTTTGCCTGCAGCAAGCGCGCGTCTGGGCAGACTATTCGAAGTGATCAGCATTGGAAGGAGCTCGATCAGTGCATTGCGTATCTCGTTGGGACTCGCCATGTGGCTCTCAAACTCGGCGAAGGAGCCACAGATTTGCGCCTCGTTGGTTTCGCAGATGCCGACGACGCCGGCGACAGGCAAAGTCGCAGCAGCATGAGTGGCTACATTTTCACCCTCGGTGGAGAAGCAATTTCGTGGGCAAGCAGGAAGATCAAGTGCGTCACCCTCTTGTTTATGGAATCCGAGTATATCTTTGCTGTGGAGGCCGGCAAGGAAGCTCGGAAGGTGCGCTTCTTGCTGGCAGGGTCGGGGCTCCTTGAGGAGGACGAACCCACGACGCTCTACGTCGACAATAAGTCAGCCATTGCGGTGTCTGAAGGGATGGGGCTGAAGGGGAGCCTTAAGCATATGGAGCAATGATACATGTGGTTGCAGCACATGGTCGAGCGTCGGAAGCTGAAATTGTAGTACATCCCGATGAACGAGCAGCCGGCAGACTGCTTGACCAAGGCGTCACATTTTCCTGTGTTCGATCGATGCTTTGACAAAGTGGATCAAGTGCGATTGTCTGCGAAGGGGAGCACAGACGAAGTCTCGTCTGAGGAAGAATATGTGCCATGACCGCTTTCATGGCTGGTGCGCTGATTCAAACGTGCGAAGAAGCGCAGATTCTCGCAACTTTCCGTGTGTTTATTTTGTGTGATTTCTTTTCGTTTTAGTGTACCCTCTAGATCGGGTTCTGAGCTGGTTGGTGATTTTGCATGACCAGTGCAGGGGAGTGTTGAGAATAGCCGTGATCATGCGAAGGTTCCAGAAGTTTGCAGAAGTCTGCAGAAGCAGCATATCAACGAAGTCTATGGACGCAATCCCTGCGGAAAGGCCTATCGGCAAAGGGCAGCTTTGTCGACAAGGCGAGGCTCTGCGGAAATGCTCATCGACATAGAGCAGTCCTGTCGAAGTGACCTTGTTGTTGATGGTGCAACTTCTGCGAGAGGCGGATTTCTACAAGTGGCTTCTACGACGAAAGCGGTCTTCTGTGGAAGTGGTTTGTGCAGATTACAGAGTAAGGAAGACCCTTCTGCCAAGGGGCCATTTGCAGAAGAACTGTCGTCTGCAGAAATGCTCGGAGGCAGAAGTCGACTACAGGCCACTTGCGGCAGAAGTCGAAATTCGACATGTGCTGTAGAAACGACCTCACGCGAACTGGCGCAAGGGCTCATTCGCAGGAACTCACTTGTGTGGGAGCGCTGCAGAAACATTTCGACACTCTCTTCTATGGGAGTGCGACATAAAGATTTCCGGAACTCTTTATGTGAGAACGCTGCGGAAAGAGTGAGCGGAACTCTCTTCTATGAACGGCTCCTCCACAGAAAATACTTTATGGCGCAAAGTGGCCGTTTCGAAAGTGCGCGAATTTCTGACCCTTCGGAAGTTTCAAAATGAACCGGTCTAGACCGCGAAGGCAAATCTACCTGCGACATTGAGAAATTGAACACAGGTAACGCACATTTCGTAACTGCAGAAATGTGCATAACAACTGGCAGTTTCTGTTATGAATGAACAAGCAGAGTAGCGCGGAAATGAATATCGAAGTGTTCAATCACTGAATGACGATACAAGGAATGGCAAGCCAAGATATAGGAACATTAGAGCTAGTCTTACCATGAGATGGGAAGGTTCGGGAAAGAGATCAAAGGGTCTCGAAGTGACGAAGCGAGGCTCGGAGAACTCCCGAAGGCCGAACTAGAAGGTCTGGAGAAACCGAGGCGGTTATGTAAGAAAGGTCCGGAACTGTCCCGAGGCTTCGGGTGTATTCGAGCGTACGCGATAGCAGTACCGCTCAGTAAGGAATGGAAAATTCCTTACAGTTTCATTACCTGAAACTGTTAAATAACTAATTTCTACGCATGTGCTGTGATTTTCACCTGTCATTGCTGACTTGGCTAAGTGCAGTTGGAAGTAGTTATGTCAAAGTTCTATTGGGAACGTTCTAGCGGTGTTTAATGAGGTAATAGTAGCATTTACCTTGTGTACCATAATTTGTAATCTTGATTCTAGTGATTTTTGGATGAATGCATGCTAGCTTTGTCAAGCTATGCTATTGAACACACAATTCGGAGGCTGACTTCTTGAGAACTGCAGAGCTAGAGTAGCTCTGTCTGCGCCAGGCACTTCCGCAGAAGCTCCCATTATAGCAGAAAACTTTGCAGAGGTTGTTGGTGAAGAATGAGTCGGTAGCGTATGTTGAGAAACTAGGTAGCTAGGGAAGCCATGGAATGGCGTGAGGTTTTAAGCTAGGAAGAATATCGAGAGAGAAGAGGCTTGATTAGGAAGAGAGAGGGATACAAGGAGGGGGTTGTACCCTCTACAGTAGGTTTCAGTAACACCTACCAAGCCTACAATTATATATAGCCTACATAATTTAACAACGTAACCGTGGGAAAATAGTATGGTAAGGAGCGGGTTGGATTTTGCAATGATGACGAATGTGAGGTGTGTGGACGTTCGTATCAGTATGTCGGTGATGTTGTTCGCCCTTCGTATGTAGGTGATGGTGTAGTGGAAATTCAATTCGAGGAAATCCAGCCAGCGAATCTGTCGTGGGTTGAGGTTCGGTTGCGCGCGGAGGTATTGCAGTGATTTATGGTCTGTCTGTACTGTCACGTCGGCTCCCATCAACTAATAGCGCCACACCTTGAATGCATGCACGATAGTGAGCATTTATTTGTCGTGGACGGGGTAGTTGCGCCCGACATCCTGCAACTTTCTAGACTCATACGCGATTGGTTGGAGTCCGTCGCCAAAATCATGTAACAGTACCGTGCCAATGGCGAAATTGTTGGCGTCCATCAAAATTTTGAACGGTCGTGATGGATCAGCGGTTTCAAGGACCGAAGGTGACATCAGAAAAAATATGAGTTCGTCGAAAGCAGCCAGTTGTCTCTCCCCCCACTCAAATAGAGTGCCTGTCCGCAGCAGGTCAGTTAATGGTCGGTTGTTCCCACCATATTGGGGATAAAACACCAAACATAATTAAGAAAACCCAAAAAACTATGTAGCTCCTGTAAATTCATGGGCGACTTCCAGTCACAGATGGTGGTGATTTTCTTCGGGTCGATTTTACTACCGTCTGCCCCAACGATGTGTCCTGAAAATTCCAGTTCAGATTTTAGGAACTCACATTTAGAGCCTTTAGTGATGAGGTGGTTTTACTACAGCTGCTGAAAAACCATGTCGAGGTCCGTAAGTTGTTGTTCCTTGGTCTCGTTGACGATGACACACTTGTCGAGCAGGTCCTTGAACACGCGGTTCATGGTGAGTTGGAATGTTGAGGGCGCGTTCATGAGGCCAAGTGGCATCACTATGTACTCGTAGTTGCCGTAGCGGGTTCGGAACGCTGTCTTGTGGCAGCCGTCAACGAAACCTCGGATCTGATGATAACCACTTCGCAGGTCAATCTTTGAGAAGAAGCGAGCTCCGCGAAGTTGGTCCAGGAGATCGTCAGCACGTGGGATTGGGTAGCGAAATTTGATCATTTTGGGATTCAGCGCCCGGTAGTCAATGCACATCCAGAGCCCTCTGTCTTTCTTGGGTGTGTTGAGAATGGGCGCTGCGAACAGGGATGTGCTGGGACGGGTGAAACCCTTCTGAGTTTCATCTTCGCTACCGACCAGTGCGCACGTCGTCCTGCTCCAATTTTCGTGCGAGCTCGTCGAGGACGGTTTCACTCGCCGCGTCGTCGGCTTCTTCCCTGACATTATTTTCTGCCACCACGGGCGACTCCTAACGCGCTTCACCATGCGTCTGGCAAAGCTCAGTGTTCTCTGTTCGAAGTCTCACGACTTCACCGTGAACTTGCCATCTGGGCTTGCATTGCTTGTATCTGAGCCATGACCTCGTCTAGCCGGGCCTTGTTGGGAATGATAAAAGAGCATTTTAGGAGTCTCGTGTGTTGTAACAATATGCAAAGACCACAACATCGAGGACTGACGAGTCAAATCCTACTAAAGAAGTACAAGAGTCAAGTCAGCGCGACAGCTAGGAAAAATAATCAGTTAGACTCTTCGTATTATCTTGTTCTATTATATATACCTTTGTATCCCTTTACTACAGTCAATCACTTGTTCTCATATACCAATACAAGGGTTCACTCAAGACTTCTGTTGTGCTATCAAACACTCCGTTACAATGACTTAGCCTTCTGAAAAGATCCTAGGGCTATTTCTCAACCCAACATGGTATCAGAGCTTGTCAGAAGCTACGTTCCCTTTACAAACTCCCTAAGTGAGTTTCTGACCCTGCCTCAGAATCACTTAGAACAACTTCAATTTCATTAAAGTCAAGATTTACAGGACATGGTACCTTCGAAGGGGGGAGGATCCTCTATTGGATCTCTCGGCTATGAGCCATTTACCCCTCCAGTCTCCGATCTACTGACTGAGGCGAGCGCTACTCAAGGTACCATCGCAAAGCGCAACTCAAGGCACAACTGTATGAGCTCCCACGCATCCCGTGGCCTCCTCCTCGGGCATTGACCTGGCCTTCATGGAGAAGTTCTTCTCCTTCATGTCGACCTATGAGCAGCCTTCAGCACCTGCTCAGTCGGCACACAACAAGAACGTCAGTGGAACCGTACGCACGAGGCAATCAGCCTACACAACATCAACCTTATCAGCCTTTGCTTGGGTCCTTCACCTTCCTGCCAATCCCCGTGCTAGGAGTGGACTCTGAAGCCTACAAACCAACAGACAACGTCAATATGCAACAACAATTCAACAACATACTCAAGCCACAAACGTCCTTTCCCTTCAACGGCAAAGACTTCTTTACCTGGAGCTTCGAATTCGAGTTGTTGATGGACAGTGCGCAGATCCTTGGCTTCTTTGACGGCTCTTGGGCATTTCCTCTAAACGGAACTATTCAAGCAAAGAAGGTCTATGCATATCAGTCGTTGATGGCATTCACCATCCCCTTGTGCAACTTGACACTGATGGAGCAACAAAGAATCCAAACGTACCGCAACTGCGGCAACTCGGCTGAGTTCGCCTAGTGTCACTTGAAGAGTGTATACCAAGCCTCTGATCGTGTGACTCAAAGCCGACTAATGGCGCAACTCACAACGATTCATATGCAACAAGGAGAGAAGGCGATGGCATACATCAATAGCTGCAGGGGATTACGTGACAGGCTCTTACGAAGTGGCGGGCACTTATCAGAAGAATCCTTCATCAGAGTCGTCCTTGCTAGCCTCAGTCCTTAGTGGCGTACAACGTGCTCCCTCCTCCGGGCTCACGGGAGAATCTCCGAAATGCATCGGTGCGCAGAGTTGCATGCCGAGCAGCAAGGCATGGACCTGTACGAGGAGCGCCACGCAAAGAAACCAAGTCAGCAACTTGCGTTTTACGCGCACGGGCGCAATAACAGTCCAAACCAGAAACGACACGCAACACGTGACACTTGCGCTTCAACTGTCCAAGGCAGCAGTAGCGCCAGCAGCAGCAGCAGGCACAGCCTCAGCAGTATCAGCCCCGAGCGCCTCATCCGTCTCCGAGTCCAGTTGCCTCAACTCAGCAACGCCTGCCAGCTTCGATGAACCGCTGTAAAAGAAAATTCGTTAGCTGCATGCCACGCATTGACTACTGTGTACCCGACTCTCCTCCTCACCGCGATCTTGATGAGCGTCCACTCGCTCCGACACAGACCCGGCTTCAAACAAAACTGGCATACATTGCGAAAGTCCGCGACGAACCATCTGGCCTCGACACTTGTTTCCTTGACAACTGCTGTGGCCAGAACATGCGTCCTCAACATGTTTTGTGATCACCGTTGCCAACAACCAGAACCTGTGCACACGCAAAGAGGGAGTCATTTAGTTACAATCTCTTGAGACAAGCGTAGTGCTACAAATGTCAAAGGCACTTGTCGTTGACAACCTTGGCTACAACCTGCTAAGCGTCAATCAGCTCATGTCGAAGGGCATTCACCTGGAGTGTGATAGCTTCGATCGGGAGTTTCGCCTCTACCACGGGAAGGGCGGCCTCTTCATCGGCAGAGCGATCCAGAAGCACGGCGTCTTTGTCTTGGACTTCGTCCCAGACTGCGGGACCGTTGACAGTGATGGCGTCATCTCCTTTACGTCCTGGACGCACTTGCCGAATCTCGACCCCGGTTTTGACCGCGATGGCTTCTGCTACTCCAACACGATACCTGAAGCAGAGAGCACACGAGCGTTTGCTGTGATGCGTGAAGCATAATCGATACAGGAAACGGAACTACCACGCGCAATCAAACAGCAAGTACCGACACGAGCACTCCCTGCTCGTCCCATCACTGGGACTTCGCCTGCGCCACCCGTCGAAGATGCTTTGATTAATACGCCGCTTGTCAACGAACCACGGCTGACTGAAGCTGCGCAGCTGAAGGCGCACCCTCGTGAACACCACTAGAGCACCGCAATCATCTCCACCTTTTATGCCAACTCAGACCTATATCGTCAATCTGTGGGACACAAGGCGAGCGAAGAAACGTGGCATCCGCATTTATGTCATCATAGCAACTCCTGTCTCTTCGACACTATTCGCGCAAACGTTCTTGACAAGGGTGATCTCCTACTTCTCGATGGCCGCAAACTATGACGACCTCGACGTACTTGTTTGATTTGTCCCGGAGCAGAACTTCCTCGACAACCGTTCCCATCACATCACAACCCCAGCGCACCTGAGTATACTCCTCTCGAGAAGGTATACAGTGATATACTGTATATCTCGCGCGAAGTCGGTCGGCCGACCTCAACTATGTCATCACCTTCGTCGATGCCGCCACACGTTACATCTGGCATCTTAATCTGTCGTTTTATCGCATGGATTGCTGCAACAGAGCGGGAAGGAGGCGTGAAGCAAAAAAAAATTCAAACAGACACGGCGATGGAATACCAGTCACAGTGCTTCAAGGACTATCTTGCTGAGAAGGGAATCAAGTGGCTCGTGACCCTCCCCTACACTCATCGACAGAATGGTGTAGCAGAGAGGATGAACAGGACCCTCCAAAACACCATGCGGAAGCTACTGACCACCATCCTCCTCACTACTCGACTCGGCCGATATCTAGGAATATCAGCAAAAACTGGGATGTCTGCTCTTCGCCGCCGTCACCTGCCGTCCTGATCTCTACTACGCCGCAATTCAACTCACCACGTACCTTAAGTGACCTGAAGTGGGGAATCAGCAGGAAATCGATCGCGAGTTCCACTATTTTATTTCGATCCCGACAATCGGCCTCACCTAGCACAAGAACGCCACTACCAATACAGAGCTTATCGGCTACGTCGACGCCGATCACGCCAGCGACAAAGATATTAGGCGCTCTTGCACCGGCTACGTCTATCGCATGGAGTCTATCAGCACTATCTCCTCGCACTCGGGAAAATAAAAACTAATCGCCCTCTCATCTGCTGAAGCCGAATATATTGCCCTCTGCACAGCCATAAAGGAAGGACTTTACCTGCGGGAGCTGCTCGAAGAAGCGATGATTGCTGAGTTACCGAGCTTCTCCCTCTTCTGCGACAACCAATCAGCGATCAGCGTTGCTTAAAAAAAGGATTCGCGGACAGGACGAAGCACATCTCGCTTCGCTACTTCTTCGTAAAAGATGAGATCGAGCAGGGACGTCTCCAATTGGCCTACCGCCCACCACCGAAATGGCAGCCGAATACTTGACCAAGAAGCTGATGAAATCAAAGTTCCAGCACTGCATGCTGCTGACTAGACTGCAATACGCCCACATCGACACTCCAGAATCAAAGGATGGTGTAAATAATAAAATGACTAAAGAGCATTTCAAGTATCTCGCGTGCTGTAACAATTCGCGAAGACCACAACATAGAGGACTGATGAGTCAAATCCCACAACAGTACTTCCGACGGTTGACGCGGAGTGACGACACCTCGCAGAGCTTACGAAAGGGCAATAGTCGCAGACCGTTGACCATGCAACCCAACAGTCAGAAGTACAAGAGTTAAGTCAGCGCGACACCAAGGACAAATAACCGTCCCGGTATTACTGCTCGGGTGGTTACCCGAGTCGCTCTTATCAAGTCGTAAAGGGAATGTATCACTTGAAGTGCATAATTACAGTAGTTAGACTCTTCGTATTCTCCTGTATTATTATGTATGCCTTTGTATCCCTTTACTATAATCAATCACTTCTTGTCACATGCCAGTACAATAGTTCACTCAAGACTTTTGCTGCGCTATCAAACATTCTGTAACAAGGACTTAGCCATCTAAAAAGTGTTAGAATACGAGAATGATCTACTAGAGGGGAATCAGGGAATACATAGGAGTTGTGTTGTACTCACTAAGAGCACACACCGATACTAGCCTATAACTTCTACATGCATGATATGTATAAGTTGACACACCCCCTACGCTAGAGAAGGGGTGGTGCAAGCAAGAAGCACACAGCTCAAGGTGGCACTACTAGTCCAACCATTGAGGCAGGGGTCCAAAGACCAGTCAGCAAGAGTACAGACAAGACAAAAGCAAGCCAGGGCGGCACTACTAGTCCAACCACTGGAGGTAAGGCCACAAGGCCAGTCAGACACGTATATATAGCAGAGAATACACCATCAGGGTCCTAACAAATGAGTAGCTACAGGAACAAGACCAAGCTGTACACAGTGCCGCTGATATTCTTTAGGCGCAAGCGCCTTCGTAAAGATGTCAGCTGTGTTGGCACCGGAGGCCAAGTGAACTACACGGGCCTGGCGACGCTGTTGTAGCTCGCGCAGGAGGAAGTACCGCAGCTGGATATGCTTCGCTCTGCCCTCAAGCCGAGGCTCCTGACACAGGAGTATCATGGCCCTGTTGTTAACGTACAGGACCGGGGAAGAGCTAGGCCGCTCACATAAGTCAGTGAGCAAGAAGGTCAGCCAGCGGAGCTCCTGTGCCGCCATGGCACCCGCGTAGATCTCAGCCTCATAGCTGGACTGAGCAACAGACGACGAGCGAGTGGATCTCCAAGAGATAGCACCCGAGCCAAGGCTAAAACAGTAGCCCTGAGACGACCTGAGAGTCTCAGAGTCGTCTGCCCAAGAAGCATCTGTATGCCCTGTGAGGACCACCGGCCTGCGTCCTCCTAGCACTAACCCCATGCCCGATGTACTTTCTAGATATCGCAAAACCCTCTTAGCGGCCGGTCAGTGCTGTGGTCGGTGTCTGCCAGTGGCCACAAAACGAGCCAGGATGCTGAGAGGATATGCGAGATCTGGGCGAGTGCAACTGATCAGGTACATGAGGCAACCCACCAGCTCTGCGTAGGGGCCACTGGGCTCTACTGGCTCCTCAGGAACGGGAGCGGAGAGCCCATGGTCTACAGGTAGAGGTGTGGGCTGTGCGGAGGATAATTGAAGACCGAACCTCTGAAGGACCTGACGCACCAAGTGTGACTGTGTCAGAGTGATGGTGCGTGCTGCTCTGTCCCTGGAGATCTGCAGGCCAAGATAGCAACGCAGCTCTCCAAGGTCAGTGCAGGTGTGTCTCTTCAGCAGCTCGGCCTTTACAGAGGCTAGTGCGTCCCTGTCAGCAGTAGCAAAGACCAGGTCGTCTACCTAGACAAGGATGTAGAACGGAGTCTGGCCGGAACGCACAAACAGCGAGGGGTCAGCAGAGGACGGAAAGAACTGCAGGCCTGCTAACGTGGCACGCAGTGTGTCGTGCCACTCTCGGGGAGCCTGACGCAGGCCGTAGATCGGGCGCCTGAGAAGCCACTAGGTCCCAGGGGGGAAGGTACCAGTGAAGCCGTGTGGTCGACTCAGGAAGACCTGCTCGTGTAGGCTGCCCTGAAGAAAGGCAGTAGAGAAGTCGAGGGAGTGAAGCTCGTAGTCGCGCTGTGGTGCTACGTGTAGCAGCGCCCAAAGAGTGGTCATCTTCGGGGTCGGGGCGAAGGTCTGGAAGAAGTCAACCCCCTCGCGCTGGCTGAAGCCTCTGGCCACGTAGCGCGCCTCGAAGACAGGAGGCTCTCGAGGGGG